ATATTTACTGACCAATCTTTACAACAGTATTTCTTATTGAGTTTTAATGGATAAGAAATTAGTTTTTTTTTAAAAAAGGACTTCTCTATATTTGTAACTTATTTCAAAAGAAATATACGCCCCGTTTTTTTGCAAAAAAAAGAATTACTAAACTCTTCTCATTGACTCAACATGTCTTTTTTCATTCATTATACATAAACTTTAGTCCACGTGTATGGTGGTGGTCTATTGTGTAATCAGTTGTATCACATGATGTATGTCAATATATGTACAAATTGTGTACTACACATATACACACATGCACAAAAAATATATAATTTCGTATTACAGGTATGTGGTAATGTTAATTAAGAGTTGTAGGTTACATAGATTTGTAAAAATGATCAAATTCCAATTTACCAATTAGCATAATGATGCAGTTAACTAGAACTATATAGTTTACTTGGAATTTGTGAATTAACATGCACACGTATAAGTGAGCTATCTTATTACAATACTTGTAATTTGATAGTAATTTTATCATAAAAAATAAATGCAAACATACGTAAAATTTCTAGAAAAACCTTGAAAGTACGCCGCAGTTTTGGTATAGTTAGTCTAAGTTTATTAAATTATAAGATGAATCATATAAATGAAACAGAGTTAAAGTGAGCTTTTTTGTTATTGAATGTCAATCTTTTCTTTTGTAAATGAGTAGAGTATTGATGAGAAAAACGCCTATAGCTCTTCTAGAGCTACTGCCGGTTCCAAGTCGAGGTAAAGTTGAAGTGTTTGGCGTAAGATCGGCAACCCCATCCTGTAGAAAACGACCTTGCTAAAAAAAACACTAACCAGAATAAACAAACTAAACCATATAAACTCTGCCCTCCGAGTTTAAGGAAGAATTATGACGCCTCATTATGAAAGCCAAGATACTTCGGAAGTCACGAGGATTTTGCCTCTTCTAGCAACCAGAGCAACAATTTTTATAGGTACATTGAATGTTCGGACAATGCGGCAGACCAGGAGGACCAGTCAAATAGCTGCGGAAATGAGGAGATACAACTTGGCAGGGCTCGGGACCAGCTAGATCCATTGGACCCAAGCTGGATCGCAAAGGTTAGAGACGGGAGAGATGTTGCTGATGTTGACGATCAAATCCTTCTCTCACTTCTTAATAACTCTTCTATCCCCACCATTAACCTTTCTCGTATATCTTTGTCATCACACGCCACAGCTGCTAATTTAATTCTACGAAATGTTATTCTTAGTCTTCTGAAACCACGCTGTAAACTAAATGTTGGAGCTTTCAATGTTCAAACCTTGTCAGATAGGGCAAGCTTTTTAGCTAGGATTCTAGAATTTCGTGCCATCGATATATGTTGCGTCTCCGAAACGCTCATGTACGATCCAGGTATGGTCGTTCATTTGACCTGGTCAATATAAAGAACCGGCATGAGTAATCCTTCGAGTATATGTAGCTCCCACTACTACTCCCCGTGGCCTTGCTGGCGTAGCTATAGCGTTAAATTCAAAAACAGAACAGGATCTGTTAGACCAAACTCTAATGGACAGTCGCTTGTGCTCTGTTTGACTAAACAAGCCAGTAAGAACTTGGGAAAATAGGGAAAAATCCCATTTCCCTTTCGTTGTCTCTCCCTACACTCCGATTGATTGGAACTCGTACGAAGTTAAAGACGGATTTTTGGGGAAGCTATCCAACCTTCAAAAAGCTAAGCATTGGTGTAGTAATAGTAGCAGGTGATTTTAATGCTCATGTAGGTAGACTAAACCAAATCGAAAGACACTTCGGCAGATCTTACGGTGTTAGGACTCAGCGAACAGATAATAGCGGGTGTCTATTGCAACAGTGCTCAGATAACCGTCTATTTCTAGCAAATACTAACTTTAAACATAATGAGAAACATTGTCAAACGTGGTGATTCCGACAACCGACCCATCGATGAACTCAAATAGACCACATTGCCATCAACCATCGTTGAATTGTTTCTATAGAAGACTCACTCATTCTGAAGCACATGTTGATAAGGTTGATAAGGTAGTAAATCTTCAACTGAGGTAGTTAGTACGTGTGTTACGTATGCGCAACCACCGGTTACCTCGACGGGTGATGTTTGATGTAGAAGTAGGCTAGAAGAAAGGTAAAGGCGTCCGAATCAAAATATGTCATCAGTCCATGAAGTCAATGGCAGCCCTGTTAATAGGTGTAGACTACCTGGTTGGGATCCGCATGATCATCGTAATCAATAGTTAGAGACTTTGAATGATATGGCTCAAAGTTATTTGCAATCGCGTAGGTGCATCTGTTCTTTGTCACCTCCCAAATCCTGAGATTCTAAATACCTCACAGTATTTTTAATCTCACTAATTTATATTTTCTTGAATTGTGTCTTCGATCCCAAATCTTTTCTGTTAACACTGATACTGTTATTACCTTTACCATTCTGGGATCTGGCCTAACGATTTAATCTATATGTGGTAATAGGATATGGCAGCTTGAATCGATGTACATACGTACTAGGTTCTACGTTGTGACTGGCTGACTAGTTGGTTAATGTACGAAATGAAATTATAACACCTTATGATAATTAACTTAGCATACATTCATTACTTTGTGTTTGTTATTTTTGCAGTTTAACTTCATTTCATCTTTAAGTAAATTATCTTTTGGTTTGCGCAACACACGGATTCTAAATTATTGAAGTATAGACTGAAGTTACCTCATTTATTTCTTAATACACGAGAAATATTCCATGTTGCGAGTTCACTAGCCTACTTCTCTCGGTTGATAATTACTCTAAAAGTTAAACATATTTGTGTTCTTGTTTTCGTAAACTTTTAATATATGGAAATAAGATTTTAACTTTAACTTCTACGTCAGTTACTGACCCTTATTGTAACCACTGACTAATCACTCATTTTAAAAAAATTCAAAATATTTTGCTTATGCTATGGCATTTCTTTACGAAGCTATTAGGCTGTAAATAATTTCATGAAAAAGATATACATCGTCTAAATATAATATTTTTGTCAATTGTTACTATTATGTTTATCATAGAAAACGTCTAATCTCTTTTACCTAATTTAGTCATAATATACTTTGTTCGCTGAATGAATATCAACCAAATACCAATTGTCTATGTTGACAGATAATTTGGTAGTTTAGAACAGAGAGAAATATAAGTGCTTTATCAACTTATGTTGTAGTAACCAGTGGCTGCATCATTCTCCGACTAAATGTTACGATGAATTCAGACTCCTTTTTACTAGACAGAACGTGATTGTCGAAGACAACTTACTGTGACGACCGGTTGATTAGTATTTCCTTTTGTCCTAAGTAATAAAGAACCACTTTTCATCAAGTATGACGTGTGTGTTTGATTTTATTCACTATTTACAAGTTTTTAAAATAATAAGATCGATTTGTCATCATGGAATATCCTTGTAATGCAAAACTAGTTAACCATCTCTTGATTCTTGTTTAAAATCATTTACAAAATTGCTCTACATTCAAATTTCATAATGATTTGTTAGTTTATACGTAAAGGATATATCTTTTTTCCAAAGCAATTCATTCTTGTTCTCATAGGATAAAACCGACTTTTATTTGAAATAAGTCGTCAATTTTCAATCGATTCCATTATATTTAAAACTGTATTGAAGCGTTAATATGTTAAGTTGTCAGGTTCATTGATTTAGTTGTACTTGTTCATCACATTGATCCTAGACCGTATATTAACCAGACCATAACATAATCTATCATTTAATTACTAACTAATATATGCTTATATCGAACCACTGCATGTATGAACATGATGTTCGTATTACTTCTTTCTTACTTTGATTCACACTTATTAATTCTTTGGCGCTCAGATTCAAAATTTTTTGTTGATCATGATCATTCTCCTGTCAAATATGGTGTTTCTAATAATCTTTTTTTTCCGTTTTAATAATTCAGCAAGAGATCTGTTTTTTTTATTATTATTACTGTTATTATTGTTTAATGATCTAAATTTTCAGTTTTATTTAAAGTATTAGTGTTTCAGCGTAATTGAATTGCATGGTTAATAACTTGCTAGAATTCACCTGACCTCCCTTTTTTATTTCGAGAAAAAAATAGCAAAAAACATGAACAAAATCATTATTGTAAACTACTTATTGATTTTGTATTTTGACTTTCTCATGTTTATTTATTCTTTTCAACTATATCGTTTAGATTAATCCGCCAAGTGAGCATCGTGTCTCACGTGTACTGGAATTGGTAAAAGCATTTGAAGGGGGTCTTTAATAAATCATCAAATATAGATTAATTATGAATTTTGGTGCTTAATTTCTTTACTACTTTACTTTTACCATGTTTAATTACTATTATTTTTATTGTTATTACTAATTGTAATATGAATGACAAACTTTAATACTCCTCACTCCGAGATGTTCTACTTTATTTCAATACTTCTATTCATAATTGTAAAATTTTAAATGTATCCACATACCACTGATGATCACATTTTATTCTCTATTACTACTGATTATTTTCATTTGGTTGCGCCATAATGTCCTTTTTCTGTTTTGAGAAAAAATAAATGATTTCAGAGACATCTGTGAATTAATAACATTCTCTATGAATCTAATTATTATTTAATTATGTAATTTTATTTTCTATTCACTCAATTGTACTGTTTAAATTATATGAATTTGACTATGTAATCATCTCTGTATCTGTATGTGTAGATCTTATCAATTCTGTTTTTTTTTGTTTTGAAAATGATTGTTTGTATTGGTTTGTGCCTTCAAAAGCTACCTACCGTCAAATTGAAACAAAATTAACAAACTACTCAATATGTCAATATTTTCTTTTTCATCGGGAAAAAATATTAACAAAAGATCAAACATACAGCATGAATTATGTTGTGTTTTTTTTACAGTAAAAAAAAGATACAAATTCACCTTTACAATTTCATTCATTTCTTATAATAAATACAACAGAATTAATTATCATCTGGTCTCTCTGTCTTACTATGTATTATAATGATATTTTATGCAATAATCTATTTATTCGATTGTTTACCGTTCAGTGCTTTATCATCATTCTCTATTATTGTTGATTAATACTGATTATTTGTAATGATTTGATGAACGATGAAGAATTACATTTTGTTTCCAAAATATAACATTATCGTTGAATCCCAATGGTGCATAGAATGCAAGGACACTTCGATACTTTTACAAATTGTCTTTTTAAACTTACCCTCTTAAATGATTTATAATATCCCTGCATAAACCCTGTTTTTTTCAGGTGTTAATAGAAAATATACAAAAGAGAATTATGTATATCATAATTGCTATTCTACTTTTTACATATATATTAACCGAATTAAATTACGGCATAAGAACAAGATCAAACTAGCTCACACTTTAGTTAACCGGGGGAGAGCTGAAAGACCTAATAAGTTGATTTTAGAGGCGCTTAACAATATTGGGTAGTCCAGTTTGTTGGAGATTAAATTGATTGAGATATAGTCGCTAGAATTTTAGAGCTAGACGTTTATGATGAAATTTTGTGACAACGACATAAGAACCAGTTTTTACCAATATAGTACGGAAAATAATACCTTCTGATCACTCAATGTCTATCTGGCCCTCATAAACAACTAACGACTGCCTTCAATTCTGAAACTGTATTTACTAACCGAATATTCACTTTCCGTCAGGTGTTAAAAGATGAATATACTTGCCGACGTCCGGTTTTAGTTGTATTTTTTGACATTAAGGAGACATTTGACTCTGTTGATCGAGAGATTCCGTAGCCGTGTTTATCATTAAGTGGTATAACAAAGCAGTCATAGTAAACAGTATATCAGTAGCAGTAATCAGCATTTAGTTTGAGGCATAACAACCACATCGGAATCGAAAATCTAAGTTATTTTAGAGTTTTCTAGAGTGAAAGTCGACAATACAGCTTATCCAAGTGTAATTTGAAGAACTCATGAATTCTGCCCATGAAACGAATCTCATGAGTCACACTTTGGAAGAATGTAAATTCGTTTATCAACTAACCACTTACCGAGCAAGAAAAGTCACCGTAAAGCGAATAAAGGAACCCCACCATCGTTCGGGGGAAGGTATTAAGATTGAAGTAAATGTATAATTCAATTATGAATTATATTTCCTGGTCATGCCTATAAATTCACGGAGTTTGCGAATCCCATACACACATTAGATTATTAACTATCAGTTTATTCCATTCAAATTCATTGACTTACTAATGGGTTCTGCTTCAATAAGTATCAGGTAAAATTATTTTACAATCACAGCAAACAGCCGTATCATTAGGAGGAATTCTCAACCTTGACATATCTGTCTTGTTCCCAAGATCTTACATTTTAATTGAAAATATCTAGATGTATCATTTTACTAAATCATTTTCTTTGTTACTTTTATATGTCTATAAGTTTGAACAAGGTATAACATCTAAACTGTATTGAAGCCTAATTACTGTTTTGAATCGTTCACTAAATTGATATTATATATAAAATGATTTGCTTAAAAGTTAATCATCAGTTGAATACATACTGAAACAGTGATCATATTTGTTGGGATATTCAGAAAAATATCTCAAAAATTATCCTGTTAAGTCTAATGCTATCCTTGGACTTGAAATGGCATCATTTCCTCACTCGTCAATATTTATTTCACGTGTCATTTTCCTGTTGGCTAAATATTGTACAAATGTTATTTTCTATTTTATGGTACGTTGTGGTCTGTCTGGTTGATATATAAACCGAGTATGTTTGAAATAAATGATTCATATCGCAGAGGCTCGGATTTGTGTTCTGAACTTAACTGGTTGGGCTAGGCGGAAAGCAGGGCCAATCAGAACTCTGGACTGCTCACATGTGTTTTACGCGTCATTGACTCGATCGATAAGTCACTGCTGTCTAATCGGCGGTTACAAGTTATAACAATATTCTTTCTGAGAATAACTTTATTCACGATGTAAATGTATTGTTGAACTATTTATCAAACATTTATCATATGCTATTTAATTATTATATTGTATGTTTAATTTAAGGTGACAAAAATAAAAATAACATTTTGAAATCAATTTATTTTTACGTAAAACTACTAAGAAACAGTTCGTTAAAATTGATGAATAATAAAAGCCATGGAATCATATGATTTAGCAAAAATAGATAGTGATACAGAAAAAAATAATCAATTTTTTTGGTCATTTATTCAATTATAGAGATTTAGTTAATACAAAAGTTTCATTATTGTCTCTAACCTGTTTATAAACGAAGGTGATTATTGGTAATGATAGAAATTCTATTCAATGTAGAGGATTTTATTCTCCTGTACATTCTATGCTATCTAGCTCTGTTAAAATGCTCTACAGGTATATTTTAGATAAAGGAGATGACATTCACACGAAACTCGAAATGTTATTATTCAAATATTTCAATTTTAGCTCTAGGCATACAATATTTATTTACCAAGTTTGGTTGAACTTTTAAAATCCTCTGCTGTTTCTTTGCTGTATACCTTTTTTTAAAAAGTACTTTATTTGGCGACAAATCAATCGTCATATTCGAAATGTCATTTATATGCACTTTTGTCATTCCTGAACGGTCGATGGACAACAGTACTTACGGCATCATGATTTTGAATACAGTTATGGGTATCGTTCTAATGAAACAGAATTTATCAATATTCTAATAAACTGAAAGGACATCTAAATCAAACAGATTCATTGAAAATATACTTTATTGAGCTAAGAAGATTGTATTTAGTAATCAATAATCTGCTTCAGAAAATAAAATAAGTTTTTATGAAATATCTGAACATTTTTATTATAAAGCAATTCTAATAAGGAGTAAAATTTGCCAAGTCTGTAGACCCCGCGGGGCGGGGTCGTGGATGCGCACTGCTGAGGAGTCCCACAATAGGACGAGACGACCATCCAGTGCTTCCAGATTTTCCGTGGTGGTCTAGCTTCAATTGACTCATGATCTCAACTGTTGAAATTACTACAATCTCCACAAGACCCCTTCTGATAAAAATTCATGTTTGTTGAATATTTATTGTGCTTTTATATTGAAATATAAAGAAAACGAACTTTGTTCTTACTGGCCCGTTTACATTCTATTAGGTATGTACACTATTTCAGAATAGATATTCAAAATATAATCTAACGTATTCAATAGTTTTTGCAAGGAAAATAAATAATATACAATAGTATAATGTAAGAAAGTATTCATTATATTTTGTGTATTTAATATTGAAAATAAGGTCACAACATTAAAAATAAACTAGGTAGTAGCTTGTCAATAATTGTTAACACATCAATATTTTAGTGGAACCATGTTTATTTCGAAAACAAAATTTATATGTTTTTGTTTTATAAGCAAATGAAACTATATAAAATCAAAGACTAAACAATTTGATTTAGTTGTATTAATCTTTGTTATTTATTATTTGATCAGGTTTTATTATAAGATTATATATTCTCGTAAATAGTTAAACTGATTCTATACTTTCATTTCAATCATAAGTTGCTTCAGATTTTCTACGTTTTTATTATTCATTTATAAATGTTCAATTAACATTTGGGAACAGATTTAGTTAAGATGTACACTTATGATATTTAATTAATTCAACTAAGTAAATAATGTATAGCCCAGCTTGTATTCTCTTAGCCGATAATAATACTTGCAATTCATATATGTTTACAAGTGACTAGACTCACTCAGTTAACGATAACAGTTCAGTGGTTAGATTTTATAAGTGAATGATCGACTTTCTTATATTAGCTGGCTTACACTTGTGTTATAACTTGCGAACTGCGTGCCTTGTTAATGTATAAAGTAACGATATCGCCAATTAGAGAGCAGTGACTTATCGATAGGACTAATGACGCGTAAAGTCGTATTAGCAGTCTAGATTCCTGACTGGCCCTGCTTCCTGCCTAGCCCAGCCAGTTAAGTCCAGAACACAAGTCTCAGCCTCTGCGATATGAATCATTTTATTCCAAGCATTCTGAGTTTATATACCAATCAAACAGACCACAACGTACCATAAAATAAAAAATAACATTTGTGCAAAATTTGGCCAAATGTGGCTGTGAATATGGGAGGCATTGACTAATAAACAGGGCATAATTCAAGAATGGTGTAACGTATAATAATGGTTCATAGGTCAAAATAAAGCTTATAATAAAAGGAATATTAATATGAATAGTTCAGTTATTTAACAATTATACGATAAAAGTATACGTCTAGTATTGGTCCATAAATGGATCCCAAAGTTACCATTCATTATGCTTATCGGGACCTAACAACTTGGATTACAGATTTTGTAGTTTTTGGTTATTAAGTCCATATATCTTATTCTGGCCTTCTGACAGGCCAGTCTATTCATTCTACTTGAGTCATATTTTGACATTGTTAATTTTTCGATTATCAATCTTCACTGTTTTTATATGAGCCCATATATGTGTGTACACTTTTTATCCTATTCATCACATTTCTGTAACCTATTTTCATGTGACTATAAATATTGATTAACGCTTGACTAAATGGAGTTGGATTATCCGCCGTCTCCACTACGCGTCCTTTCGCTTCGATCTATTCCATTCGCTTGTCTGATATTTCGTCTGGATCAAAGATTGTATGAAATATATGTATTCGAAATTCATTCTCGTATTTGACTTATTTAATTCCGTTATTGACTAACGTTATTTGAGTCGATGATTATATACGAGGATAGGCGACATGTACATTTCGACAGCAATCATTCATACGATCTAATTGGAATCAGATCCCTCACTACTAAAGTGGTGAGCCCTTCAACAATATCGTCCAATCTAAATGACGATAAAATAAAAGGCCCCACTAAAATTTCTTTAGACTTAATAGTATCCTGTGATTTATCCGATTTGGTTTAATAAGTATTCTTTTTTTCACCATTAAAATGTCATTTACTTAAAGAATATATCACCAGTTCAAGTATCTCATTATTTGTGACTCCTTAACTAAAGTGAATGTTAGTTGTCATTGGTTCTAAAATTATTCCATATGAATATGAAAAGACAAATTGTTTTACACTTGTTCACATAAATTATAGAAGTTCACTATGCTAACTTAAGAAATTATACAAAATTTAATAACTCTTCAAAATGTGTCTTACTAGGAGTTTGTATACTCATTTGAGAATTTGAAATATACCTATTAACATATTTTAATCAAAAATATTCTTTGTATTGGATCGTATGGTTATGAACACTT